GAGGGCCTTTGCCTTCTTTCGTGGTTCATACTTTACTTCCTTCAAGTCTTTATCCAGAAGTCACTAAGATGAAGCCCTCCCCACCAGCCGTCTCCTTATATAAAAGCACAGCTCTACCCCAGACTGTCACCACTGGTATTTCCTTTACTTGTTTATCTGGTTTATAGAGGGTCTCTTTCTATTAGAATAGAAGCTCTATGAAGACAGGCACATTTGTCTGTCTTGTTTGCTGATAAATAACTTACTACTGGGATAGTGCCTGGAATGCAGATATTTAACAAATACTATTGAATGGATGGTCTGAATTGACAGAAATAAAGTGAAGCAATCACTGTTGAGGGTGTGGAACATAAAGATGAAGTTCTCTATTCTGCTATTCTAGTATATTTAACTTTATTTTGTTCACCTTTTGTTTTATGCTAGGTAAATATCTAGTCCTTTCCTTTGAGATTATTTCAATGAGAAATTGGGAAAGGAAAAGTGACATGTGGTAAAATAGCTGCAGAATTTTTTGTAATGGAGTCTTTAAAAATCTAAAAGTAAGCAAAAAAGTGAAAGGAAGTAAAACGAATCATTTAAGAGATCTCAGATATATAAACATCAGAAACTAACAATGTTTATATTCTAAATGCACTTACATATGTCTACATGCTGTATAAATTATACCAGAATAATTATACAATATTTGTGTGTATAGCATAGATATTATATATATGCATATATGTGTGTGTGTATTATATATTATGTTTTCACAGGTCATAGTCGAACAGTTGTTGGAATTGAAGAGAGAAAAAATCGAACATTATGTTTACTGATATTTGATCCTGGATGTCCTTCTCCAGAAATGCAGAAATTATTAAAACAAGATATAGAGGCTAGCAGTCTCAAACAGCTTCGGAAGTTTGTGGGAAATTTAAAACACAAGCAATATCAAATAGTGGCAGTAGAGGGTGCTCTTTCCCCTGAGGAGAAAATTGTAAGTATCTCAGTATGGGAAGCTTGAGTGGGCCAAATATTGTTTTTTATTTATTTTTATTTTGTTTATTTATTATTATTTTTTTTTTGGTCTGTCATGGGGCCTGAATCTGGGCCTGGGCGCTGTCCCTCAACTGTTCAGCTCCAGACTAGTGCTCTACCACTTGAGCCACAGCACCACTTCCAGCTTTTTCTGCTTATGTGGTACTGAGGAATCAAAGCCAGGGCCTCATGCTTGCAAGGCAAGCACTCTACCACTGAGCCACCTTCCCAGCCCCTATTTTTTATTTTTTTACTGGTTATTTTTTTTTTTTTTAATCTTATTGTAAAGATGCTGTACAGAGGGGTTACAGTTACATGAGTAAGGCAATGAGTACATTGTCGATCATTGTTACCCCTTCCCTTGTTATCCCACTATCCCTTCCCTCCCTCACCTCCCCCCACCCCCCACATGCCCAAAGTTGTAGTTTGTTTCCAACATACTGTCCTATGGGTATCATTGTTGCAGTGGGTCATCCTGTGTCCTTGTTTCAGGTTTTGTTTTTCCCCAAATGTAGTTTAAAATGTTTAAAATCATTTTATCCCTTTGTGTTTATCCTATTTCATTAAATTGAACAAATAGGTTTGTTTTTATATAAATTTCTGGGCTGAACATTTTAAACTTAAGTGGTACTTAAAAGACTTTCAGTTGCTTCACTCAGCTTCATAAAAAAGTCTCATTTTATCATATGTAACAATTTTTTGTTTTTTGTTTGTTTTTGGTCAGTCGTGGGGCTTGAACTCTGAGCCTTGGCACTGCCCTGAGCTCTTCAGCTCAAGGCAAGCACTCTACCACTTGAGCCACATTGCCACTTCTGGTTTTCTAGTGGTTAATGGGAGATAAGAGTCTCATGGACTTTCCTGCCTAGACTGGCTTTGAACCACGATCCTTAGATCTCAGCCTCCTGAGTAGATAGGGTTATAGGTGTGAGCCACCAGTGCCCAGCTGTAACAATTTTTAATGCCTTGTGATGGATAAAGATTCCTTAAACCTAACTCAATCTGATAACCTATTTTTTCTGGTTTTATTATTACTATCAAAATTCAATTCTTGTGATTCCTTGGGTTCTGTGTTATATGCTTGGTAAATATTAATGATTTAGTGAATGTAGCTCTTGCCTTTATTCAATTAATTGGTATTAGTTAACTGGCATATTGCAGCAAAGTTTCTAGGAAGTGAAAAATCTCCACTTGCTGTAAACTGAAGCTATATGATAGCACATTAAGTCTGGAGGATGCATAGGCCTCGGGATATTAAGCCACACATTGTTACCGTAGGGTATTTCATATTGATTATTTCACTCTAAAGCTAAATGAAATACACTACTGGAAAGAACATGGAAACTAATAGGATCTTGGGGGAGGGGAAAGCAATAAACTTATTTGAAAGGAGAAATAGCTAATCTTTTTAACCTAATAATTTGAGATGTAAGGGTAAACTATTCAGTTTAATTATAATGCTTCAAAAAGGTTCCTTTTTCGTCTTTCCCTCCTTTATTTCTTCCTCTTTCCTTCTTTCCTTTCTTCCTTCCTTTCTTCCATGCTGGTGCCTAGGCACTATCCCAGTCCCTGAGATTTTTTTTTTTTTGCTCAAAGCTACCACTTGAGCCCTGTTCCACTTCTGGCTTTTTGTGGCTAATTGGAGATTAAAAAAAAAAAAAGTCTCATGGATTTTCCTGCTTGGGCTGGCTTCAAACTTCAATTGATCTCAGCCTCCTGAGTACCTAGGATTACAGGTGTAAGCCACCCACTCAAAATTCAGAAGATTTCTGTGCAATGACCTAAATACCAAATTGTACTCTTGGGTTTTTTTGTTTGTTTGTTTGTTTACCTAACCTCTCGTTTGGTCATATTAAGTTAGGGGTTCATTTTAATTATTTTAAACTATGAAGATGTTTGTTTACCAATGATAGACCTATAGTTATATCACTTGAGAGCTATATTGTCTCAAGTTAAATGTTATGGAGTCATAAAATTTAACCACAATAGACTAATCATAGATATAGTACAATCAATTAAATATAGCTTTCAAATAATTTTTAAATTTTTTATTGTTATGAAGATGAGTATAGAGGGGTACAGTTATATAAGTCAGGTAAAGAGTACATTTCTTATTGGAAAATGTCACTCCTTTCCTCTCTCCCATATTTTCCTTCCTGTCCCCTCTCACAAGTTGTATAGTTCATTCTCAACGTAGTGTCTAATGAGTACCACTGCTGCATTTGTTCACCGTTTGTCTCACCATTTCTGTGCCCATTACCCTCCCAAACAGATAAACGAACAAACAAGACAAAAAAGAAAAATAAACAAAAACAACAAAGAAAAATTTCTTGTTTCCATTTCTTGGAGTTCATTTTCAAATAATTTTTTAATTCCTTTTCAAGGCTAGAAGACAAGCATCTCAAGTCTTTACAGCAGAGAAGATTCCTTGAAGAATAATGGTAGAATTAATTATACTTTGTTTTCCAAATTCAGACATTGAGTTCTGTAATATACCTGAATTCCCTTAATGTTAAGCATGTTATTTAAGTTTCTATAATGCCTTTACTCATAGTATATCATTACTTAGTAATTATTTCAATAAAACATCTTGTTTGCATTATGGGTTTTGTTTTTTTTTAATCCATGTTTCAAATATCAGAGTTTGTATCAGGTCCTAACTTGTATTCCATCAATTTCTTTAATCTTCCATTTAATTCTTTCAGAAAGTACTGTCAGTAGCCCGATAAGGAAGCTGCAGCTCTGAAAGGTTAGGAATTTGCCCAAGAACCTGATAATGATCCAGAATACAAACCTTGGCCTCTCACTTTGAAACATTTAACACTATACCATTTGGCTAGCTTGGCCATTACGGTAATCAGATTTTTCATCACTGTAACAGATACCTGAGAGAGGCAATATCAAGGAGGAAAGATGTATTTTGGCTCATGGTTTCAGAGGTTACTGTACATTCTTGCCAGCTTTGTTGTTTCTGGGCCAGCTGTGAGGCAGGTATAGTGGAGCTAAGCTGCTGGCCTCATGATGGCCAGAAGCAGAGACAAAGGGGGCTGTAAAAAAGGTATACCAACTTGGGCTGGGAATTGAGCCATGACCTTGTTTATGCTAGGCAGTTGCTCTAACTGACCTATAATCTCACCCAGGATATACCTTTCCAGAGGCTGGGAATGGTGGCTTAGTGGCAGAGTGTTTGCCTAGCATACATGAAGCCCTGGGTTCCATTCCTTAGTACTTCATAAACAGAAAAGGCTGGAAGTAGTAGAGCACTAGTCTTGAGCACAGAGAGGCTCAGGGACAGCTCCTAGGCACTGAGCTCAAGCTCACGACTGACAAAAGCGATACACCCTTCTAAGACATGAAACCAGTGACCTGCCCATTCAATCAGATTCTCAGTTTCTATGGCCTCCCAATTCTATCGTATTAGGATTCCATCCTTGGATCAATTGATGGTTAGCTGGATAAATATGTTAATCACAACCCTTATACCTAATTGCTTTTCACTTTGGACATGAATTGATCATCTGGGGCCTAGCCTTCAATACATGCGCTTTTATCAGCACAAACTCATGTCCAAACAATTGGCACTGCCCAAAACTACTATACCTGGTCATGCTTGCTTAATTTAGTGTTTCCTGACCTGCTCAAGTCTAGATTAAGTGCCCTTCTAAATACATGACAAAAGTGTTATGCTCACTATAGACTAGTGATAGACTTCCAGTCTAAGTGCAGGAATTAAGAATTCATCTGATATATTTTTATTTGGTAAAACAGCAGCATTGGACTGATGTTTTATGTTTGTTTTTGTCAGTCGTGGGCTTGAACTCTGGGCCTGGGCACTGTCCCTCAGCTCTTCAGCTCAAGGTGAGTGCTTTACCACTTGAGCCACAGTGCCACTTCCAATTTTCTGAGTGGTTTATTCAAGATAAGAGCCTCAGGGAGTTTCCTGCCCGGGCTGGCTTTGAACTGTGATCCTCAGATCTCAGCCTCCTGAGTAGCTAGGATTACAGGCATGAACCACCAATCCCTGGCTGAAATTTTTTTTTAATTGTTCCTTTTCCACAGAATTTGACATGTGCTATTCTATGGCCTCTTGTAGTGGATTGTATCATACTACAGGCTATATTTTAGTCTCATTTTCTGTTTACCTTCTCATAATTCCTCCCTTCTGTGAACTATGCCTACTTTTGATTAGTACACTTGAACTTAAAAATACTTCTCAGTAAATGAAAATATTTTAAAGAAGTAACGCTAAAGAACTTTAAGGTGTCTGGATAATCCCCCCTTCCCTTCTCTGCCTATCATTTTTCCTTAATTCAAATTAATATTTTGTGTTGCTTGGATTTGAACTTAGAAATTTGTCCTTGGTTGGTGAGCTCTCAACAATTTGAGCCATGCTTCTAGCCCTTTTGGCCTTAGTTGTTTTTCAGGTAGGGTCTCACATTTTTACATGGAATTGACCTCAGACCATGATTCTTCCCCCTCATAACCGGGAGTACAGCATTGCTCACCACATCTGGCTTGTTCTCTGAGATGAGAGTCTTGTTAATTCTGCCTGAGCCAGCCCTAAGATCTTCCAAACTCTACCTCCTGAGTAGTTGGGATTATACTTGCAAATCTCTTTACCTGGCCCCACAAATTAGTTTTGATTAAGGAAGCTGAAAAGTAACAAAAGGGATAAAAAAAATGGAGTGTCTCTATAGACTGAGTGATTATAGAATTATGAACATTCACCCAGGGAAGATTATATACACATACACCACAATTGCACACAAATATCACACATAGGCTTGGTAAAGCAGGATTAAGAAAGCTACATGTTCTACTTCCATTCTTACAATGCTAACAAAATACATGCTGGAGTTAAGGAGTTTTCAATATGTGTTTTGTTGGTTTTTTTTTTTTTAAATCTCCACATCCCCTCAATACTTTATAGAAGTCTCAAAAAGGCTCTGTGGATTAAAATCTGAACTGTGAGATTTATAGAGGACACAGTATACACTTACTGCAGTCATGAGAACAGTGATGTCATTTAGCCTCGGGAAAGTCTTTGGACATCTTTCTATAAAAATTGTATGAAATGTCAAGTTTGGTGTTTTCAAGGAATGACACTTTGCACATGAGTTTTATCTATGCATATAATCACACACACCCCTTGCCTACATTGGATGTGTATATTAAGGACACCTAAGAGTGGGCTAATTTAGTTGTTAGTCTTCATCTTCTTCCTCATATTCATCTTCCTCTGATTCTTCAATCTCCTCTGCCACAAATTCAGATGCTTCTTTTGCAGCCATCAGAGCCTGCTCCTCCTCCACGCTGGGGTCATCCATTTCTATAACCTCTGATCTGCTCGGGTATTCCTGATAAACTGGTGGTAGAACTGGAGGAGTATAATTGTCCACGCTATACTTATGACCCCAGCCTATGTAGAAATTTTCAAACTTTCTGTTAAATATAAAACAAAAGTCACTGGAATATTCTACTCAGTAAGAAATAAATACAGATTCTTTTGAAGCAATATGCTATACATTTAAAATACCAGAGGTAAAGAAGCCCTCAATGATTCTACCATAAGGAATCTATTTTGATCCAAACTGCTTAAGCTGGTTAAGAAAACCATAGGGCCAGACTCTATCAAAATATACCCTACATCTAGACTGCTAAAAAAGAAAATTTGCTGGATGCTGATAGCTCTTGCCTTGTAATCCTAGCTACTCAGGAGACTAAGATCTGAGAATCACAATTGGAAACCAGCCTGGGCAGAAAAGTTGGTAGGACCCTTATGGAAATTAACCAGCAAATTAAAAAAAAAAAAAAATCCAGTCAAGTAGAAGAATGCCAGCCTTCAGGAAAGTGTAGCTCTATATGGATACAGATTTAGATACATGGCAAGAGCAGAGATAGATATAAATAATAAATAGCTATAGAGACGTATCTCCACTCCTTTATACATGCATATATTTTTATATATATGTATATATGCATATACATATACATATATACATATATATATATGTATATATATAATTTGAGCTTCACCTCCACTTTGAACTTTTTCCTGATTTTCTGCTTAGGCTGCGCTTTGAACAGTGATTTCTCAGATATCAGCCTCCTGAGCAGCTTCAATCACAGGGTTGAGACACCAGCATACAGCCTACAGGTATTTTAATAAAACTTATGCCACTAGCACCTCATATGCCAAAGATGAGTTAAAATACTAGTGCCTCAACATTCCAGTGATAACCATTTCCAGCACTTACTCTGGCCTTATAAATGGCCAGATACTTACTTGCCATTGGAGAAAGCATATGCTCCAGGCCAAAGATTGGAACGAAGGACTGCAATAGCATACTGAGGAATGAAATGTGATGATAGCCGTGCTGTCCAAGGGGGGATGTTCTGAATCTCTAGAACCAAAGAAGAAACATGAAAGCTTAGCCCTTATGTAGGTAAGAATCTACTATTTAACCAAAGTTACTTTTTTGTAAATCTTGGTTTTACACACACGCACACACACACACACACACACACACACACACACAAATTTGTTATAGAAAAAAAGTTAAAATAGCTTAACACTTGCTTAGCAAGCACAAAGCTCCATATCTAATACTTTCAAAAAACTCAATTGCATATATGAAAATGTTATCAGTGTATGACATCTATGCCAAAAAATGCTGTTTTTCAGCAGCATAAAAACAAAGCACAAATCAGTAGAGCAGTCCCTTGATTTGGAAAAAAGAAAACTTGAAGTAGATGTATGCTTGTTTTTACCAGTAAGATAGATAAGGTTATGTGTTAGAGGGAATGCTGTCTGGTAACTAAAGCAAAGGTTATTGCCATGGGAGAGAATAAAGGTAATAAGCCAAACAAAATTGAAAAAGAAACAAAAACATGTAGACATGAGTTAATTAGAAAACAAGAAAATAATGGGGCATTCTTTCTACAGCTATGCCATGTTTATGATTTGCAGAATGTAAGACAGGAATATTGCACAAATGACTAAATGACTGTTACCAGTCTCAGTAAGAACTACAGGCTACTTGAGTTTTCTCTCTGCATCATTCCTTCAGTATGCAACATGATGGAATGGCTAGAAGCGTTCTTTCCTTCCACCATTCCAGAACCCATGAAGGGAAAAGAGGATGAGTGCATGACTCCTCTCTACCTTTTAGAGGTTTCCAACGCTCAGATACTCACTATCTAATCACATGGTATACAGTTTGTGTGTGTCCACATTAAGTTATTTAAAATTACCTAAATCTTCAGAGATAGGTGTCAGAAGAGGAGGCCCCACTTCCTGTTCTATGTAGTCAGGCTCTTCACCTTTTTCTTCTTTTTCTTCTTCTATTTCCTCCTCTTCTTCCTCGTTTTTTCGTGTGGGGTTGAACCAATTACAGCGTCCCTAGAGATGAATGCCACAAAACTTACAATCTCAGAATACAACTGGGAAGTTGGCTCACTGTGCTTGCCTTGCATGCATGTGGCCCTGGGTTCGATTCCTTAGCACCATATAAGCAGAAAAGGCCAGAAGTGGCACTGCGGCTTAAGTGGTAGAACCCTAGCCTTGAGCTGAAGAGCTGAGGGACAGTGCCCAGGCCCAGAGTTCAGGCACCACAACCAGCAAAAAAAAAAAAAAAGTCTCAGAATAAACCAAACTGATGGCTGATAACTTATAATCCTAACTACCCAAGAGGCTTAGATCCAGCCTCGGCAGAAAAGTCTGTGAAACTCTTATCTCCAACTAACCAACAAAAAGCTGGAAGCAGAAGTATGGTTTAAGTGGTAGAGCACCAGACTTGTTAAAAAAAAAAATAAGTGAGAGCTGGAAGCCCCAGATTCAAGCCCTAGTACTGACACAAAGTGCACACATGCATGCGTGCACACACGTCATAATATTCATTTAGACTGAAGCAATTATCATACTTACAAAGGTCTGTTTTCCATCCAGGTTTATTTCTAGCAAAAAAATATTTATTTGAAGTATTTGCCAGTAATTTTGAAGTTACAAAACTTGAAGGTAAAGTCTTGTAAAAAAAATGTAACAAACTGGCTTATAATAATTTGTGTGTGCAAGATAATTAGGAAGTTATGAATATTAATAACAAAAATGTTAAGTGTGATAATGGGATTGAGTTGGGAGAGGGAAATGGAGAAAAATGAGGGAAAGGGTAACAAGTTAGACAAGCAATATAATCACTATTACTTATGTAACTATACAGTTATGTAACTGTAACCCCTCTGTACATCACCTTGACAATAAAATTTAAAAATAGGAGTGAGTTAAATTTTCTCAATGAACTAAATGTTATCTAGAGATACTTGAAAGCATCTCTTATCTAGATCAGAGTGTCATGAAGATTTTCTAACTGCACATGGAAAGTACCACAGAGTGGTTTAGAGAATGCATATGTCCATTTTGTACAGCCTCACATCTGATTCTGTTACTTAGTAGCTATATTGTTTTTGTCATGTTCCCTAAGCACTGCTTCAGTTTTCCTCATCTGCAATATAAATGTAGTAACAGTGAATCTTTCATGGGGTTGTTGTGAGGAGTAAATTATATGTCTCTCTATAATTTTATACATAATGTACATGTAGTGCTACTAACAACATATAGTGCAATACTATATAATTGCTATTTAGCACTGTTTGCTTATTTTTGTTTTTGTCACAATATTTAGTGTCTAACATAAGTATCCATGTAAAAAAATTGTTCCATGTGTTGTAGAAATAGAATAGTTTCCATAATAAATGTATCTGCATAATTTGAAAAATAGTTATTTTATCTATCATATTTACTGTACAAAAATAGAGTAAGTTCATAACACACTTAAGTCTAAATCTATACATTACCTGGCAAATAGTCTCCTACCTGAGGGAGAATATATTGTACATGATGAACCCAATTGGATAGAGATTCCACTAGATCAACTACTTGGATGCCTTCAAATTCAGGGTTTTCCTCAAAGCTATCTCGTCCACCTTCTACTTCTTCCTCCTCCTCTCCTTCCTCTTCACCAAACTGATAGAATCCTAGAGGACTGATGTGGGTTCCTGCTGAAATCCGGGCAATTTGTGCTCGCAAATAATTGCTCTCATTTCCTGGGAAGGGTGGGAAGCTTATGACGGGAGCATCTAATCGCCCAGTGAAATATTTCTTGATTTTTCTTGCAGTAACAATTTGTGCAGGTGTAACTAATGGTAACTTCACCCATGGTCTTCCTGGTTCATTGCAAACAAAATAGATGTATTTGTTGGCACCTGTTCGACTTTCTTCTTTAGGTATAGCTTGTGGGGCCTTGTAAAGGGACTTTGGTAGTTCATCTTCCTCATCCTCAGCTTCACTTTCTCCATTGTCCTTCTCGTCAGCAACATCTTCCTCTTCCACCTCCTCTTCCTCTTCCCCCTCACGAAATTCCACTTCAGCTATAATATAGTTCATTTCCAGGCCCAGGATCTTGCCCCATAATCGGCATCTTTGGATTGGGTGAGTGTCAGTAAGTTGTTTGAGGGCCAGAAATATGCGATAAGTTTCATCTGTTCCCAAGCCAACTCCAGCTTGTTCAAAATAATATGCTGACTCCATTACATTTGGAAGAGAGTTTTCTACCTAGAAAAACAAATGATTTGGTTAATATTCTATTCTTAAGGAAAATGCTTGTTTTTTTTTTTTTTTTTTAATTGGGACCTCTGAGTAGCTAGAGTTACAAGCATGGGCCTGTGACTTGTGAATGTTGCTTTTTATATTAATAGTGTCTTTGAGTCATTGATATGATAATTAACCTGTTTTATGTGTCTCTAGAAAGAATTGAACAAATTTAATTAACAGGTTTGTTTATAGGAATATTTGTGACTGAGCTGGGAATGTGGCTTAGTGGTAGAGTGCTTGCCTAGCATTCAATTCCTCAGTACCACATACACAGAAAAAGCTGGAAGTGGCACTGTGGCTCAAGTGGTAGAGTGTTAGCCTTGAGCAAAAGAAGCTCAGGGACAGTGCTCACACCCTGAGTTCAACCCGTAGGACTGGCAAAAGAATTGCAATTCTCTTACTATCCTAAGGCATAGAACATGTATGTAGTATGTGTATATATGTATACGTATATATATATATGTATATAATACACATATGTGATATGTATGTATGTACTTTTGAGTCTGTATGTTTATATTGTCATAGTATTAAAATATTTACTAACTACAAGGGCATATATGTGTATGGCAAATAAATATCAATATGATAATTAACATAGATAAGGTAACAAATTATAAAGAACATATAACAGTGTGTAGGCATAATCTATATATAATGGTATAATATAGTCAATTGCTCCTACTTACAATAAACCATTTGGCATTTAAGATAATGAGACCTTTGTACAATTCTATGAAAATAAATAATAATGAAGAGAAAAATAATTCCCTACAAGAAAATAAATAGAGGGCTGGGAAGGTGGCTCAGTGGTAGAGCGCTTGCCTTGCATGCTTGAAGCCCTGGGTTCGATTCCTCAGCACCACATAAGCAAAAAGAAAAAAGCCGGAAGTGGCGCTGTGGCTCAAGTGGTAGAGCGCTAGCCTTGAGCTGAAGAGCTGAGGGGCAGCGCCCAGGTCAGAAAAAAAAGCCGGAAGTGGCGCTGTGGCTCCACTTCCGGCTTTTTTTCTTTTTGCTTATGTGGTGCTGAGGAATCGAACCCAGGGCCTCAGTCATGCAAGGCAAGCGCTCTACCACTGAGCCACCTTCTCAGCCCCAGAAATAGAAGTTTTAAAGCATTTGTGAGTATATTGGAAGTGAAGAAAAAACTTCAGACAACTTTCAAGACCAAGTATTGGCCCATCGGATGGAGAAATGGAGAGCATTTGCAACTGATACTAATGATCTAATCTTTTTCCTTTATGAGGAGGTTTCACTGTGAGATTTCTATTCTTACCTATACTCTTCCACTGGAGGCTGACTCATGTCTTGTTGGGAATGTCTGCCTGTGTGCCTGAACCCCACGTGTTGAATTCTCTCACACCCATTATCTTTGTATATATGGCACACAGCCACCTGCCACCTTGTTAAAGCAAGTTAGCATCATCTCTTTGACATCTATACCCTGTTCCTCTTGTCTGCGCACTCCAGGCCCTACTTTGTGAGCAAGGTTCCTTCCCATGGGCTGTTGAGCCCTAGGGGTGCGGCTATGTCAGGCAGCGTTCCTTCCCTCTCTTCTCTCAGAGGATCCCTTGTTGCATATATGTCTCTAATCACCAAAATTTTCATCTACATAATCACTTTATTTATGGTTATTTTAAAATGATCTTTAAGAACTTGTACAAATGGGTTACCATTCAACCTGTCAGTTTCTAAGTACAGTGCATCTTGGTCAAGATCACCCCTTTCATCATTCTACCCCATCTCTCCCAAGCCCATCCATCCCCTGAATTTTCCTAGTCACAGACAGATTTTAGATAACCTGGTGATCAAGGCATAGATGTTCAGACGATATGTATAAGTTGCAAGGATATAGCCATTTAAGAAGCATAATTTGGGCAACTCTTTTGAAATGGTTAAAGCTAAAATTCCTGTGCTATTCTTGATTGTACTCTCTGATAAAGATGTTTAGCCCATGACAGCCAATTCTTTTTCAAAATATTTTCACCATTTATTTCTCGAGATCAAAACAAGTATTTTATTCCTCTCTTCTATTAATAAATACTGTACCCATAATATTAATGTGCAGATACTGTCACAATCCTCAAGATATAAAGGAACTTGCTTACAAAGAGAAGGAAAATGCCATTAGAAGTAGTTTCCAGTGTTCTATGGAAATACAAAATTTGACTTAAAACCTCATTTTAAATTATAGTCATGCATCCCTTTATGACAGGGATACATTCTGAGAAACACATCCTTTGGCAATTGTATTATGAAAATAACATAGAAAGCCAGGCACCAGTGGCTCATGCCTGTAATCCTAGCTACTCAGGAGGCTGAGATCTGAGGATTATGGTTCAAAGCCACCCTGAGTAGGAAAGTTAACCACCAGAAAACTGGAAGTGGCACTAGCTTTGAGCAAAAGAGCTCTGGGACAGTGCCCAGGCCCTGAATTCAAGCCCCACTGCCAACCAAAACAAAACAGAACAAAAAAAAGAATACACTTACGAATTCCAAATGTACCTACTGTACACAACTGTACATGCTTGACTTCCATATGAGTGCACTGAGGTAGGTTTCTTTACAGCAGCATCAGCATAGACACGTAATATGTTGTGTTATGACCTTACAATGGGTTTGATGTCACTATGCTATGCACTGCTCAGCTTACTACAAACTTTATTTTTTGTGTATTGGGCTTGAACTGAGGGCTCATTCAGCTTCGTTGCTCATGGCTGGTCCTTTACAATTTGAGCCACGCCTACAACCCAGCCTTTGCTTGTTAATTGAAGATGGGTTCTCTTAGAATTTTCTACTGGAGCTTTGAACTTAGATCCTTTATGTTACCGCCTACTAAGTAGCTAGAATTATAATTGTGAGCCACCAGGACTCAGTGCTTACTAAAAATTTATATAGTAATATGATCACTATCATAAATATAATGTCATTTACCTGAATGTTATTAGTTAATACATAATTTTATGAAAACTTCATTCACTATTCAACAAATATTTACTAAGAAGCAACAGCTCTCCACACAAACTTGTACCAGGCAAGCTGGACAATATTAAAACAAAAGCTCAGCCTACAAGCATATGACAAGACAGAGGCCTGTAAAATAAATAAAAACTGCAAACACAAAATGAGACACCCCTAAACAATGTTGATGAGAGAAAGCCTAAAATACATTTAAGAAAAAAATATCCAAATACTATAAAAATTTTAAGAACTTAAAAAAAAATTCCACAATCCCAAATCGCCAGACTCATAATAGACATTGATATTCATTTATAATTTGTAGTCATGACTTACCATTTCATCTTCCAGTTCCTGATCAGCTCCTTCCAAATGTCCCTGAAGAAAAAGAACCCTTTGTCTCTCTGCAATTTCATATGCTGGAAGCAGCTCATTCTCATTTTGCAGGGTATCGAATTTTTTACTAAAATGTGCCAGTTTTACATCTTGACTGATTTTTTCAATGATATCAACAGCATTTTCAGGACGCTCATCTAATATCTTGGTAAGCATGTTAGCAAGATGATCATATCTGTTCAACAGAGAAACTTTCAATGTTCACAGCAAGAACATTGAAATAATGTACACATCAAGGGCATCTCATGCAGACCACGTTATTGGAGGTTTTTGTCAACTTTAACAACTCTAAGTATTCAGAGATCATCAGTGTAGGTAATTTCTAGCATACCAGAAAGAATCTATTCAACAAGTTTCCTTAGGAAATGCCTCCACTCCGGAGGCAGAGATCTGAGGATTATAATTTAAAGCCACCTTGGCCTGTTATCTCCACTTAACACAAAAAAAGTGGAAGTGGAGCTGTGACTCAAGTGGTAGAGTGCTAGCTTTGAGCAACAAGACTCAGGAACAGCATCCAGGCCCTGGGGATTCCCAGGGGGACAGGCACACACAGGTACCTGCATGTGCACGCACACATACACATACACAGAGAGAGAGAGACAGAGAAACAGAGACAGAGAGACAGAGACAGAGAGAGAAAGAGGGAGAGAGAGAGAGAGAGAAAGACGAAGATGAAGAGGAGGAGGAGGATGACGATGATGAATGCATGTCATAGAACATATTGATTACCATGGAAAAGGAATTTGAAAATGAAATTAAATGTAAATATAAAGAAACACCAGTCATAAAATAATTGAGTAAAAGAGATTTTTCACTTTAGCTTTCCAATCCCATTTAAAAGTTTTATGAACTCACGAGTATTTACAATGAGCTCTTTTTAAATTTTAGTAGTTTGAAGATCAAGCTCTTCATTTGATCCAAGGAATTATGACTTAAAGTTTATTTTGCAAATTCAAATAGAATCTACTAGTGAATAGTAAATCACATTTTCTTGATTTTTAATTTTTTATAATTTTGTATTGAGATTAACTGATTACATAAATTTCACAAATTTCACAATACTGTGAGATAGTGATACTTAAAGTCACAACACATTTTAACCTTCATGAGGCAAATTGTCATTATCATGGTCTACCACGTTTGTGAATTCTTTTTTTTTTTTTTTTTTGTCGGTCGTGGGGCTTGAACTCTGGGCCTGGGCGCTGTCCCTCAGCTCTTAGCTCAAGGCGAGCGCTCTACCACTTGAGCTACAGCACCACTTCCGGTTTTCTGGTGGTTTATTGGAGATAGGAGTCTCACGGTCTCTCCTGTCCCGGCTGGCTTTGAACCGCGATCCTCAGATCTCAGCCTCCTGAGTAGCTAGGATTACAGGTGTGAGCCACCAGCGCCCGGCCCACGTTTGTGAATTCTATGAGCTTTGACAATACAATGATTTCTTCCACATCGGGTGATATGTACATTTCTTTCCTTTTGCTTAGTGTCAGCTGTTCCCTCTTTCCCTCTCCTTCCCTCCCTCCCATCGCTTAAGATTGCAGACATAAGTGCTGCTCATTGTATTTGCAAGCATCCTGGACGGATGCTGAGATGTGATGTCCTATTTCAAGCACCAAGACTCCATAAATTCTTGCTTTTATTTCTATGTGCCTGGGGTCCTCAAGGAACCTTAAAGAGTCCCCACCAGTGGGCTGTTTGCAGGTCTGTGATGCAGCTATACCACTGCCCTGCTTTTATTAACAAATGGTTTTCCACCCATCCACAACCACTAAACCCCTTATCACTGTGCCAGCCCCCCCCCCCCCCAATCTTACAGGTTTAAGCCTGTCTTGCTGCTGGTGCTCTGTAGGAAGGACTTGGCATTCTGGATGGCGATGTCCAGCATGCTGGGGGCCTCCTCGCTGGCCCGGGGCTCGGGCAGAGCCGGGTCCCAGTGGCCGTCTGAGTCTTCCTCCGGAGAAATGATCACCCCGCGCTCTTCCCGCGGGGAGTCGTCGTGGCTGGCACCCCACGGCCCACGCAGGCCAGCTCCGGATTGTGGAGCCCAGGGGAAGGACGCTTCCTCTGAGGGACTCGCGTGATGGGGTGCGGACTCCCTCTCCTCGGACGGCCGGCGGCGCGGATCGGGACCCGCGCCCGCGCTGCTGGTTCTGCCTGGCCGCCAGGGGGCCGCCAGGTCCGGGTCGGGGCTGCCCGGCGTCGGGGCGGAGGGCTCCCGAGGAGGGGCCGCGGGAGCTGGCCCCCGGGGTCCGGGGACGTCTCCCAGAGGCCCGGGCTCGGGGTCTGCTGGGCTCCGCTCGGCCTCCCAGGGCGCGGGGGACGGGGGTTCGGGCTCCGGAGGAGAAGCTGCCATGGCTCCTTCTTCCCCGGGCGGCTCTGCCCCGCCGAGTTCTTGCCTTTCTTTTTCTTGAAAGAAGGAGAACGAACTTTCCATGGAAGCAATCAAGAGCGCGCCCCCTCCCCAGTAAAGCGTTCTGGATGCGCAGGCGGTGCAGTGACGGACGCGGGCAGCGCCGCGCGGCCGCTCCGCGGGGGTCCCGGCGGGTTCGGGGCTCGCAGCGCGGGACGGCGCAGCAGCGTCCCGTCTCCCTAGCAACCCCCGGGGGCGTTCCTCCGGGAGCACCCTGCAGGCCGGCCAGAAAGACGGAAAGCGCAGCACTGTGATTGGTGGAGCCTCTGCTCCTCTTTCGACACCAGCCAATCCGGCCTGGACTCTTGTTTAGAAACCTGAGAACTCCGGGTGGTGTTCCAGGAGCCCCAACTGGGAAGGGAGAACCGAGAGCCGGTGCTGGAGGAAATGTGTGTGTGTGAAAACCGGACTCAAGTTAGGCTTTGAGTGACTCGTGCATTCGTGGAGAGAGGATGCATTTTCCCATCTGTGTGTCTGAGAGAGAGAAGCTGGGAGGAGGAGGGGGGAAGGAGGAAGGGGGGAGGAGGGGAGGAAGGAGGAGGGAGAGGGGGGAGGGGGAGGAGGAGGAGAGGGAAGGGGAGGGTTTGGGGGGAGGAGGAGGAGGGGAAAGGAGGAGGAAGAAGGAGGAGGAGGGGGAGGAGGAGAAGGGAAAGGAGTGGAGGGAAGGCAGCCAAGAAGAAAGGAGGGCGATGCAAGGGGTGCCAGAAGGAGACCACCACGCGGTTCAGGCAGAAGAGAGTCTGTTAGGAGAACCAAACCAAACTGCACCAGATGCACGGAGCGGCAGCCCGACTGATGGGGAGAGAGATTATAGGCTACATGCTGCCGCTCACGAAAAGGAGGGTGGGGGGAAAGGGGCTGCTCTCCTGGGCAGACCTAACTGGAAGAAAGGGAGCTAGCTAAGGATAAAGAAGAAGAGTAGAACGGAAAGGAGGAGGAGGGTGGAAAAGGAAGAGGGAAGGGAAGGTAGAGAGTGGGAAGAACTTGAGCATCCAACCCTGAAGCTAAAGATAAGACACCCACACCCACATCCACCCAGGATGAGAACCAAGACAGCCCAGGATGCGCGTTTAGAGGGCATAGAAAGTTAGCTTATTGAGCCAATCAACCAAGTCTGGAGAATGTTGGAGAATCAAGGAAGTCCTGAAGGGTTGCTCTTCCCCTTCCTATGGAAGCCTCGGGTTGAGTAGGTAGAATATTATTTTCAAGGAGAAGGCAATGCAGAAATGTACCGTATATATAACTTCACTGCTTTCCTGGTCTTTGTAATTAAAACTCAGATTCACCCTAAAGATAGAGATATGATAGAATCATTCATGTAAGTGTGAGTTCATAATCTTGCAATGATTTAAGGTGAAGATTATGACAACGTACAGTATGCTATCTTCACCACGAAGAAGGAGTGGGATTGGACCACACCTGGCTTTCACTTAAAAGTTTTTCATGTTAACTCATCCTTTCTCTCTTTAAAAAATTCACTAACACATGACACTTTCCGTTGACATGATTTCCACTTAGAAAAATATTGGCAATAAATTCTAAGTGCACCTCCCCCGGCCCCACTCCCAGTCTAGTGGGGAAATCGCCACATCTTCAGTAAGTTGGTAAAAGCTGTGGCTGTTTTTCTTTCTCAATATATGCATGTGTACAAACTCACAACATACCTCGTAAAATTTCTACTGGGATGGGACTCTTTAAAGTTATATCTTTCAGATTTAGAATTCTGGGGAATTCTAAAAGCAAAACAAAAGGTTAAGATAAATTAGAACTGCATTTTTCCATAGTTGGCATAGAGATTTGGATCAGAATTTTTCTTCTTCGTGAATCTTTTCTTTAATAACTGGAGGTACATGACAAAGGCTGTTCCTTTTCCCCTCCTTGAAAAAAATGAAGGCAGATCAGGGAGGAAAGGCCAAGTAAAAAGAATCATGGAAGAATAGATACTTAGAACTTGCTTATCTTTCTGCTCAGTGGAAGGAGCAATCGAAAAAGATGCTCATTATTATTCCTGCTTCAACCCAAGCTCTGTCTAGAGCTGGACTCTTAGTAATCCCAGAGTTATTGCTTCTCATTAATCTTGGGATTAAAGGAAAAAATTCGTAGCCTGATCTTTACAGCTTCCTTCTAACCATTGTCCATAATGCTGGTCATGTAAAATGAATGCTGAAGTATTTCATCCTCTTCCATGTTCTGGAAGACTGTGTAGGATTATTCCTTTAAATGTTTAGTCCTATTTATAGTGTAACTATGTGAGTTCTGAGATTTTTATTTCAAGTATTAAAAACACTAGTTTTGAGTCAACAACATACATTTATAATATGTGGGTTTTTCATTATATTTCCATACATGTTCACAGTGTGCTTTCTGAATGAATTTACCTCCTCCACCATATTTGCATTCCTCTTTCCCTTCCTATCTTCTTTTTCAAAGAGCACTTGTGCTGTATTTGTGTGTGTGAGTGTGTGTGTGTATAATGTCCTTCAAGCCTCTTCATCCCTCCTATATTCTCTCTTTTCTCCCTCCCCACTTCCCCTTCTAGAAGTCTCTCTTTTATATTCATCTCCCATTATATCCACATCTTATAAATTATGAGATATTTAGTTTTTTGAGTTTGGCTTATCTCTCTCAACATGACAATCTCATTTCATTCACTTTTTTGGTAAATTTCAATTTTGTTTGTAGATGAATAATATTGATTATATAATGGCATGGGATATATCCATGTACAGCATATTTTATATACACTAATGTATTTTGGGGCACTTCTGATTTCAGTTTGGCTTATGTAAACAGAGCTGCAATTGGACGGTTGTTTCTTTGAGGATTTGTTGTTGGAGGACTTAATTTTTTGAGTTCCAAGTATATTTTAGATATGAGACCCTTGTCCGTTGTATGGCTAGTGAAGATCTTCTCCCAATCCGTGGGCTTTCTATTGATCTTGCTAGCTATGTCTTTTGCCATCCAGAAGCTCTGCAGCTTCATACAATCCCATTTGTCCAACCTTTCTTTGATTTATTGTGCTTCTGGGTCTCTATTAAGATAATTTTGGTCTGTGCCAAGGAGACCTAGAGTTTCTCCTATTCCTTCCTGAATGTTTTCAGGGTGTCTGCTTTGACTCTGAGGTCTTTGATCCATTTGGAGTTGATTCTGGTGCAGGGTGATATATAAGGATCTAATTTTAGTTTTCTACAGATGAATAACCAATTTTGCCAGCATCATTTACTGAAGATGCTGTCTTTCTTCCGTCTATTTTTTATCTCCCTTATTGAAGATTAGGTGGCTATAGGTCTGTGGGTTCATTTCTAGATTTTCAGTTCTATTCCATTGGTCTTCAGGCTATTCTTGTGCCAGAACCAAGTTATTTTGATTACTATGTCTTTGTAGTATAGTTTGAAATTTGGTATTGATATTTGTCCAGCACTATTTTTTATGTTAAGGATCATTTTTTTCTATTCAGGATCTTTTATTGTTCCACACGAATTTTTTGGATTGCCTCTTCTATTTCCTTGAAGAATGAGGTTGGAATATTGATAGGTATCACATTGAATTTGTAGATAGCCTTAGTAAGTACTGCCATTTTCATGATGTTGATCCTTCCAATCTAGGAGCAGGGGAGGTTTTTGCCACTTTCTAAGTTCTGCTTTGATTTCCTTTTTCAGGTTAAAAAAGTTATTGTAGAGGTCCTTCATTTTTTTAGTTAACTCCTAAGTATTTTATTTTTTGTGGGGCTATTACAAAAAGAGTTGCTTTCCTGATTTCAGCCACATTCTTCTCATTGTTGGCATACAGAAAAGCCATTGGTTTTAAGGGTTAATTTTATACCCTGCTACTTTGCCAAAGTTTCGAATCAGCTCAAGTACTTTGAGAGTGTAGTCCATTGGATTCTTTAAATACAAGTTCATGTCATCTGCAAAGAGGGAGAGTTTTATTTCATCTCTCCTTATTTGGATCCTCTTTATGTTTGCATCTTGTCTTATTGCTGTAGCTATGCATTCTAATACTAAATTGAAGAGAAGTGAAGACAGTGGATATCCTTGTCTCATTCATGAGTTTAGAGGAAATGGCTTTAACTTTTCACCATTAAGTATGCTGGCTGTAGGTTTGTCATAAACAGCCTTTATTATATTGAGGACTGTTCCATGGATTCCTAATTTTTCCAGAGCCTTCACCATAAAAAGGGTGTTGGATCTTGTCAAATGCTTTTTCTGCATCTATTGAGATAATCATGTGGTTCTTATCCTTGCTCTTGTTGATGTGATGAATTATATTAATTGATTTGCATATATTGACCCAGCTTTGCATCCCTGAAATGAATCCTGTTCGATTCTTCCAAATTCTCAGACTTATTAGCATAAAGGTTTGAGAAGGATTCCCTTATACTGTTCTGAATCTTGGTTGTTTCTGTAGTGATGTTTCCATTCTTATCTCTAAGTTTGTTTATTTGGATGTGTTCTCTTCTCTTTCTGATAAGATTTGCTAAGGGTCTGTCAATTTTGTTAATTTTTTCGAAGAACCAACTCTTTGTTTTGCTGATTCTATGGTTTTTTGGATTCTACTTCATTCAATTCTGATTTAAATTTTAATTATTTGTTTCCATCTACTGGATTGGGGTTTAGCTTGCTGCTCTTTTTCAAGGAGGTTCCAATGTCTCATTAAGTTGTTGGTTTCAGATCTCTCCAATTTGTTGATGTAGGAATGCAGAGCTATAAACTTGCCTCTGAGTATTGCCTTTGCTGTGTCCCAGAGGAGCTGGTAATTTGTGTGTTCATTTTTTTTGTTGAATATCATGAACATTTCTAATCTCTTCTATGACCCACTGGTGGTTCAACAGTGTATTGTTCAGCCTCCATGTGTTACAGGACTTTCTTTGGTGACTTTTGGTGTTGAGTTCTAATTTTATTCCCCTAGACAGTGCAGGGCATAATTTCAATGTTTCTGAATTTGGACAAGTTTGCTTTGTGACCTAAAATATGGTCTATTTTGGAAAATGTTCCATGTGCTGCTGAGAAGAACGTGTATTCTGAGAATGCTGGGTGAAATATTCAGTAGATGTCTGTTAAATCCAGTTGATCTATGTAGTTGTTTAGATCTGCAGTTTCTCTGTTGAGTTTTTGCTGAGTTAATCTATCTAATGGGGATAGTAGTGTGTTAAACTCCCCAAGAATTAGTGTCTTTGATCTATGTGAAATTTGAGAGAAAGTAGTGTTTCTTGGATAAATTTAGGTGCTCCATTGTTTAGTGAATAGATTAGAATGTAATATCCTCCTAAAGTAGAGATCCCTTAATTAGTATGTAGCGACCTTCTTTATCTCTGCTCACTGATTTTAATTTGAAATCTATTTTATCTGCTATTAGGATTGCAACTCCTGCCTGTTTATGGGGGCCATTTGCTTCGTAGATTTTTTATTCCAGCCCTTCACTTTCAGACTATGTTTGTTTTTATGGATAAGGTGTGACTCTTGAAGGCAGCAGATATAAGGATCTTGCATTTTAATCCAACTAGACAGTCTTTGTCACTTAATTGGAGAGTTAAGTCCATTAATGTTGAGAGTTAGGACTGAGAGGTGTTTGGTAGTTTCTGCCTGGAGGCTGTGACAACTGGGTTCTTCCTATGGTTCTTGGATTTTCAGTTTGGGTGCAGTTTCTTGGCCTTTACTGTGCTCTTGGTTTTCTTTTTTTTTTAATTTTTATTTTTATTTTTTGTGAACATACTGTACAGAGGGGTTACAATTACATGAGCAAGATAATGAATACATTTCTTATCAAGCATTGCAGCCTCCTCTTTTGTTTACCCTTCACATCCCTTCCCAGTGCTCTTGGTTTTCTATGTGTAGGACATCTTTAAGTATCTTTTGTAGGGTGGTTTGGTGGAGATATATTGTTTCAGTTTTTCTTTGCTATGGAAGGTTTTATTTGACCTTCCATTATGAAGGAGAGTTTAGCTGGGTACAGTTGATAGTTGTTTGTCTTTAGGGTGTGGCATACATTATTCCAGGCTCTTCTTGCTTTAATTTTCTCTGCTGAGAAATCTGAGGTTATTCTAATTGGTTTCCCTTTATAAGTGATTGATCTTTTCTCCTTGACAGTTTAAGGTTCTTCTCTTTGGTCTGAATTGATCCTGTGTGGATTATAATGTGATGGTGGGATGTCCTGTTCAGATCTGGTCTATTCTTGTATCTGAATAGGCCTATCTTTTTGCAAGTTTGGGAAGTTCTCTGCCAGGATCCTGTTTAATGAATTTTTTTAGATCATTAATTTCTGTCTCTAGGTGCTCCTCTACACCCATTATCCTCAGATTAGGCCTTCTGATGGTGTCTTCCAAATGTTGAATAGATCTATCATATTTCTTGGATTTGTCTTGTCTTTCTCTATAATATCTAGGCTGTCCTCAATCCCAGATCTTCTGCATGGTCTAACCTACAATCAAGACTTCCTACTTCGTTTTTTTATTTCCTTTCCTTCTAATTGATTGGCTTTGTTGGCTTCAAATTCTTTGTGGGAGCTTTGTTTTAGATCTTGAATGGACTTCTTTTACTTCCTTAATTTGGTTTTCAGTGTTTATTCTCAAATCCCTTAGTTGATTGGATATGGTATCATTGAACTCCCTTTCCTTCTGTAGGGCTCCATTCAACATTCCCTTTGTGGCCTCCCCGGATTCCTTCAGCTGTCTGTTTGTGGATTCCATGAATGCCTCTATTGATCTTTGTCTATTCTCATCTCGCTCGTGCAATTCCTGTATTACTCTTTGACTATTCTCAGCCTGCTCATGCTGAAAGATTAAAAATTAGAATTACATTTTACAATTGCTAACTGCTGATTTTGCTTTTGTAGACTTGCTCGCCCTAGCACTAACCCCCCCTCCCTTCTGGAAATAAGGAATTGAGTAAAAAGTCTCGGAGCCCAGATGCCGGCCCTGGGACAAGGTTTGTGGTCATAGATAAAGAATAAACAAGTAAATTCCCCAAGTGGCCAAATGGGACCCAAAAATGGGACCCAAGAATGGGACCCAAGATAAGGACCACCTGGCAAGTCCAGCAAACTAGGCTAAATGTTAATCAATCACAAGCCTGTTACTATGTGAACTCCCCTAACTCTTACCTCCCAGAGTGACTACCTCCTTTAAATCACCCACGCCAATTGTTTTTACAAAGAGTGTTATAAACTTCCCCACGTAGTAAAAATGATTG